GAACTGTAGCGGTGTGATTTTGGGGTCACTGCCTATCAGGTCAGATTCACATATTCTCTTTGATTTCAACTGTTGTATTATTTTTTATTAAAGAAATTAAAGAAAGCATCTCTTATTATATCTCTGCTGCATTTTTTTCTCCAGGGTAAGTCCATCAAAGACACCTGTCCGGTCTCGCACGCCTCGTTCTCACATGCACTGAGTCATCCTTAATGCTGGGGTGGATTGCTGCTGAGAGAAGTATTTACATCTATATATACGTAGAAACAGATATATCCTAAGGCACTGCTGGTGTTCTGTTGATACTTTTGTCCTGAGTCTTGCAGTAAGGTATCTACTGTACCTCCTTGGGGTTGAGTTATTTGTTTAGCTTGTAGAGTTGGACGGCACTTCGAGAATCTAGAGGGATTAAGTTATGATGCACAATGTGTTGAGCAATGGTTGGATGTTTCTAGCATCTGAATTTCTTGTAAGAAACTTGGTAGTTGTAACAAACCTTTGGTCCTCCTGAGCTAAACTTTGTTCACTTCGTTGTCTACAAAGTTGTTTGGACATTTCTGTTGCTCTTTTATGCCATTTTGAAGCAGTGGCTTACTATACTCCCTATATTCCCGTAGCATAGCTTAATCTTTGTTGACGTGCATGAAGCTGGTATTGCTAATGGCTGCTTGCGGACTCTAGTTTTGGTCAATCTAGTCCGCAAAAAGGTAAATAGATCGAGGTGATCAATCGATAAAAAAATTTCTGAGCTGATGGAAACTTGTTAGAAGTGTGTCTCAGATGGCAGGGATTCCCGAAGTTCCAATTTTTTCGGGTAATCCTTGAGTTACAATTTTGATGAGCCTGTATTAGTTCATTGCACTTGCCAACTAGGTATTGTATTGCCTCTAAGAACTTCCCTTGACTACAACCGGTTTCGCCGCCCATTTGGCAGCCGTTGGTACCACGTTGGTACTAAACTGGTGTCATGTGATGAGCTTGGTGGAGAAGGAAGCCACCTCATTTGGATTTTGATTGAATTCCATACTCCTCTACTTCCTTCGTGCATCATATCTCTGAAACTTGTTTATTAGTAAGATTGCTGAATGGGGAAGATTCCTACATTGCTGGTACTTCTGTGGTATTATGGATTAATAGTGAAGCGAAAGGAAACCAAACAGAACGTTTTGGTTTGGCATGCGCACGTCTAAATCCGGGGAGAACACTGTTTGAATGTCAGCTTCTTCATTTCGGGAAGATTCATATAGAGACGAAAGATTTTTATCTGCATGATTCAGTCTTATCCAAAATAGATGGTTGCTTTCAACGTGAAAGCAAGTCAGTTCACACTGCCTTTACGAGGGAAATTGAGAATTGAAAAGGAGAAGAATGATGAGGTGACGACCTGTTGAGTGATGACGAATTGGCGGACGCCACGAAATTCTGAATTTCTGGTCACTGAATGTTAGGTCTAACCACAAATGTAGCCTCATTTTCTCATCCTTATCTTCCTCACTTTTCTTATGCCCTTTTATTTTCCCAAAAAAGGAAAGCAACAATTTCTTAGAAGATCTTGATTTATTTTCCTGGAATAAATAACCTTTCGTTTAATCATAGAACCGGTGAATTTGTGAACAGATTTTTCTTATTTAAATTTAAATTTTACTAATTTATGGACTGAAGTGTACGTTTCTTTTTGGTCGTAAATTCTTCAGTTGCAATGTAACCTGTTCAAAGAATTAAATGTGCATTAAATGTCTTATTTAAAGAAAGATGCTTTTAAAGGAGAGAAAATGTCAGCATTGTTTTAATGAAGAGGTGGGTACAAAGTTAACAAAATTAAAGTCAAGGTTACATGATAACCGTTGGGATCGGGATCGGGAGGAAACAGTGTCGGGGTAGGGGTGGAAACAGGCCAGGCGGCCTGTCAGGGGCCTACAGCCTGGCCTGTATTTGGCCTGGCCTGGCCTGGCCTGTTTTCCAAAAGAGACAGGCTCAAGCCTGTTTGAAGGCCTGTTAAAGTTAATAGGCCAGGCTTAGGCTCTCTAAAAGGCTGTTAAGCCTGTTAGGCCGACCTGAGCCTGTTAAAACTTATAATTATAATATATAAAAAAAATTAGTTAATGGTATTGTTAATGTGTACTTTTAATTTATTTTTTAATTTTATATATAGTTAATAGCTTAGTTCTTCTTTAGATTTTGAAGTTTAGTTGACAAGTAAAGATAAAAATATAATTTAAAATAAAAATATCAATAAATAATATGATCTTTAAATCTTAAAAATATAAATAAAATAGGAAAGAAAATTTTTGTTCCAAGAATGACAGATTAATTAACTTATGTATTATATTAATTAAATTATGATACTCTCTTTATTCATTGTAAAATTAATAGTTTTTTTATTTATTTGTCTTAATTTTTTTGGTACTTAAACTAGTTTTGTCCCAAATTTTAACATATAATTCGAATTAGTTTTTAATAATCCTTATAAATTATAATTAGGATTTAAAACAGCACCTATGATACTAAAATTTAAATAAAAGACAAAACTAAAAAATTAATTATATGTATACTTTTTTTATTTTAGCTTTTTTCTTAAAAAAAATATTGTAATTTGAATTTTTTAAAAAAACAGGCTTTTTAACAGGCTTCAGGCCAGGCCAGGCCTTTATACAGGCCAGGCTCAGGCTGAAAAATAAGCCTGTAATAGGCCACAGGTCAGGCTCAGGCCTATAGGCTACAAAACAGGCCTGGCCTGTTAAGAGTAAAGCCTGGCCTGGCCTGGCCTGTTTCCACCCTTATGTCGGGGTGTAGAAGTGGACCTCCAATTGGTATTTATTGGCTATTAATTCATTTTAAAGGATATTGAACTATTTTTAGTCGACTTAATCAGGAGTGGACAGGCCAGGTTTTTGGCTAAATAGGTCAGAGCTTGTAATGAGAGTTTAAAGCCTAAACCTGTGTACAAGTTTTTTTTTTTAAAAAAAAAATCAAGCTTAAGCTTTCAAAAAGGCTAACAAGTATAAAGCTTTTTTAAAGATCTACTTATGATGTAAGCCTTTAAAAAGACATTAATTTTCAAGTTTCGAAGGTTACAAATAGGCTTTAAGCCTACTAACGCCTATATAAATTAGGTTTTTGTTATACTTAAAAACCTAAATATTTTAATATATATTAATAATAAAAAAATTAATCAGGTTAAGTTTTCAGGCTTTCAGGGGAAGCTTTAAAATTAGAAGTCTGGCCTATTTACTTGAAAAGGCCTCTAACTAAGCTGTAGGTCTGACCTGTTTGCTAAACAGGTCGGAACATATCATGTCCTTATTAGTCTAGGTTAGAAGCCTCTAATAAAGGCCTAGCCTATTTTCATCCTTAAATAGGCCGGGACATATCATACATTTTAAAGCTTTGATTTTTTTTAAAATAAAAGTATATTTAAATTACGAGTATATTTTGTGTCATTACTTTTTTTCCTGCATATACTATAAAAAAGTGAGTAGTGGGAGGTGAGGAGTTTGATTGAAAATAGAAGGCAAGGAAGCGTGTGGAGAGGGGAGAGGTAGGTAGTAGGTTTTAGTGGTATCCCTCTTAACATTTGTCGCTGTGCTATTAATATTATTATATTTAAAAAAAATTACAAAAATTAGAGGAGTATTTGTTTTACCACAATCAATTTAAACACACAACTTGTAATGGGAGAGCACATAATCTAATCTAAACACGGCCGATAGTGTTAATACAGGAGCAGCTAGCTGTCGACAAATATGAACAAATATTATATTTAAAAATATAATATTTAAATTCTCGTTGCACTTCACATCAAAGTTTTGAAGTGTTGGCTGCAAATAAAATTATAAGCTTCCTTTTTTTTTTTTTTGCCAGAAACAAAATTACTGATTGAATAATGCACGAGGATGGTAAATAGAGGGGACCGTAATTAGTAAGCAGGGGAGGTAATAATTGGGGTTATAAGGAGTGGATTAGTTGGTAAGGGTACTTAATTAGGAGCATACATTGGAGTTGACCAGTGGTTCATAAATTAAACTGCACCACCAACACCAATCTCTTTCATGTTATTTTATTTGCTGCTTCCACTGTTCCAAAATCTCATCTCTATCTTTCTAATTCAATTACTCTCTACATTTTTCTTTTGGATTCTTCTTCCATCAATAAAGCCCACTCAACACCTGTCTTCTTCAGTTCTTCCATCCTTTTTTTTTATTTAATATTTCCTTTCAAGTTTCTCCATGATATTATTATAAAAAATATACTACTTCCTATCGTAATTATAAGATCTCGTTCTGCCTAATTATAAGACCTTATTTGAACAAAATCTTATAATTAGGACCGGAGATAATATATTGCACATAGTTCATTATTAGTATCACCCTTGCATTTTCTCTCCCTTTATCATATTTACAGGTGCAAATTTTAAATTAATTATCTTGCATACATGATTAAAATTGAGTTAGGTTAAACATCTACCGATAAAATTACAACAGACTAAAGTCTGTTAATAATAATTAACATTATCCAGATTTTTAAAACCTTACGTGTGTACCGATTTAAAAAAAAAAAGAAAAAAACGAAATGAATATTATTCACACATATAAAGTGCTCATCAAAATTTTTATATCCTAATTCGAGCAAAAAAATCTTCTCGTATTGACTATTTCGTCCACAATTTCAACTCAATTCAAACGATTATCAAAAGCTCGTGAAATTTGAAATAGGACTCAAGAAATAAGTGCCGCTATCCCCATCATTTCATGTGAATCGTTCAAATTGAGTTTAAAACTGTCCATTCTATGTTTCAATTTTAATATTTATTTTAAAACAAGAATATAAAATTAAAATACGTTTTCAATTATTAATTTACAAATAATTACGATTCAATGGGGGGGGGAATTTAAATTCTAACACATAAAAATTAAGTTCTCCCAAACCCATAGCGAAAATCAACCAAACCGTTAAATATAAATATATGTGTCTGTATATATATCTCAGTTCAGACATTACTGTTAAGACTCAACTCAAATTTTTTTTTTTTAATCAGCAAGACTCAACTCAAAATTGGATCTTGAATGGATAACCTATAGAATGCAAGACAGATATATAGTGACCCCCAAAAAAAAAAAAACCAAAAGTACGAGATGCAATATTTTCCGAACTATAACAGTATGACCTAACAGTAACCTCATCCTATTCGAGAAAATAGAAAATTGAAGAACGATCCGTGTGTATCCAGACTTTTAAAACAAGAAAATATCAAGAAATTAAAGGATGAACAGGAAAAAATTGTGTCTCATTCAGGGAGTAACCCTCCCACTTGAAAGAAGCTATGATTTGATGGAACCTGTTTGTCACTAAAGCCTAATCTGAAGATTTGCGTTCAGGGGACGATCCTGTCTTGGTTGCTGCAGAAGCAGAAACTGTTGCTGTGACTAAACCTGCATCATCATTTCATCCGTGCACAAATCAAACTCAGATTAGGCAAAACATAGTAGGAAAACAGAGGAATTTCATTAACTTGATACTAAACCAGAGGTGGGTATTGATGGAGAAACTGGAATAGGTTCTGGTGGTACCCCAACAACTGCCAACATTTCCTGGGGTGGTATTTCAGAGTACTGTGTCTTCTTCCCCATTGCTTCTTCTGGGAATCTCCTTGAATTACTTAGCCCATAAAATGGTTGGTATATTGCTGGACGCCATCGAAATGGAACCTGTTGTCCTCCGTAAACATTATAGTAGTTCTGCACAGAAACAAAACAACATTAAATAAGATCACGAGGTTGTCAGGTGATTCAAAGAAAGGACAAACGCGTATTGAAATAAGCCTTGGAAATTTTTGACTGGTTACATATTTGGAGCAAACTAACCATTGCATAGATTTCTTGTGAGGGAGGATAACCGGGATACCTGAATAATAACGTTGAAGAAGAAGTTGATAATGAAGTTACAGTAAGATGTAGACAAATTTGGGGGAAAGATTCAATTGCACGTATAGATTGAGTACATACCTGTAGGGTGGTGGAAAGGGAAAAGTGTAATGGGGTATGTGTTGATTGTAATATGAAGAGGTCCCTTGAAATGGGATTGGTACCATAGCCCATGAACTGGGGTTGAATTTCTCGGCTCCTGCAAATTTTGAGAGTGGAGAAGAAAACTTGTTAGCCATTAACAAACATGGTTTAGTTCAGGTGAATATATCACAGATTGAACCTGCGGTAGATGGGTTGAATTTGCGTGCCCCAAGGGCTGCAAGATTACAGTTAGCCCTCCTCGCATCAATCAAAGGATAGGGATTCTGACAAGCTCTTATTGCAGAGTCAGGATCCTTAAAAGTCACCTGAAAGATCAATACAAACGCAGAGATTAAAAATTGAAAGAAAGATGAAAGAGGTAGAAGAAGTGATGATATATATATATATATATATATATATCAGTAGGCTTACAAAGCCATAGCCTTTTGATGCTCCAGTGTTTCTGTCAGTGATGACGACGGCCTCTGAGATCTCTCCAAACTGCTCAAAATAGCGTCTGAGAGAGTCTCTCTTAGTCTCCCAAGCCAAGCCTCCGACGAAGATCTTTGTATAAGTGGTGTCAACAGCTGGTTTTGCATTGCTTGGATTCATCATCCTATTCTGCCTCGGCTGTGACATGTGGTTTAATCTCAATTCACAGAGCCCTTGGAAAAGGAAACTAACAGGATCCAGAAAACACAGAGCAGTAATAAGAGTAACAAGAAGAGAGAAAGTCAGAAGCTTTTGGTTGGCTCTAAAGCATATGAAGAGAGAGGGACCAATTCAAATCAACCCCACAAGGTATCTTCCATCAACATGTCGTCTTCTAGGTCTTTCTATCAAAGAAAACCACTCGATTTCGGTGTTGATAATAATTCCTCTGATTCTGCAACAAAGATTCCCTTGACTAGAAAAAACCTGATAAAGGGCAGAAAAAATATAGAGGAGACGAAAAGCAGGGAAACGGAGAGAGAAAACCCAAAGAGAGGAAGAAAAGAAACAGCTTCAAAACGGAAAATAAATATCATTAAAAACCCCATTATCTACACATAGCATGATGTAGAAGAGCAACTTTGCAAGAAGGCAAAAGGACAGCAGTTCTGTAGGAGCAAGTAGAGGAAAAGAAATTATTAATTGTAAATATTTTTTTAAAAAAAAATTGAATGAAAATCTTGCTTATCCGCGTTGCCTTTTATGTGGGAGGCCATATCAAAACTTTCCAAAGTGTGAATGGGTCCAAAGATACGTGCCTTGCTGTATTCAACTCTCTATCTTCCTTCCTCCGTTGAATTGCATCACTGATATTTTTTTTCTTTAAATTCATTAAAATATTTTCATTTCGTTTTCCATTCCATTCCATTATTTATATGGAAATTTGTTATGCTTAGCGCGTCGAATATTGATTAGACCCCAGTAGGGGCGTTTCCTTGGACTTAAAAAAAATCTTAAATCCGTTGACGTCCGTTCCTGCAACCAGCATGTTCGTGTTCATGTTCATCATCAATCATCAAGCAATCCGAAATCTTAATCTGCCATATTATAAAACATGAGAACGTGGGGGTGATCTAGCTGTTGCTTGCCCACAGTCGCACTGGTTAGTTATGTGTCTGTGTCTTTGTCCCGTTTTACAGATTCTCAGATGTAAGCTCGATTTCTTTAAATAAATATACAGACAGACAGACAGATGCCGACGAAGGAAAAAACATCCTCGTACGATTAAACTTTACTTAGTTTTTTCATTTAAAAAAAAAAACTAAAATATTATATTTGGTTCTAAATATAAGAGCCCATTTGATTTTTATTTTGATCTTAAATATAAGATCCCGATCTATTTCATCTATTATATTTATCTATTTTTTAAGGTAATTTTTGTAATAATAGTAGTTCTAGCCAATATCTTTTGATTAATAAGCATATTTTAAGAAAGACAATATCTATTTATTACAAATAACTAACTTAATTAGTTTTTTTAGTTTATTCAAATAAATTAATTGACATAAATAGTAGTTGAGTCATTTCTCGAAGAAAATAATGGCTAAAGAGAAGAGGGGAAAGTATGGAGGAAGAGGGGGAGAAGGGGGGACAAAATATGTCAGTTACTATGTATAGTCAAACATACAGGAAGATAGATCGGATGGGTCTCTGCGAAATAAACTTAGTTTTGTTGAGAGATATATTATTGTACTAACTTTAATCCTAAATATAGGATTTCAAGCTACTTTCTTATCAAATTTATTTATTTTTTCTTTAAGTATTATTATTATTTTTAACCAACAAACTGTCCCTATATTACATGTATTTAAAAAGATTTTCATCAATAAAAGTTAATAATTAAGAGTATTTTAAAAAACTAATATAAATTTGTTACAAATAAAAAACTAAAGTAATTTTTTTAATAAGTAAAAATTTGTAGCACAAGTATTTGTATGCAATAAATAATGGTTTGTTAATAAAAAAAAAAAGAAGAAATCCAAAATCATAAATAAACTTGTGGATACAGGAAGGGAGGATGGTGAGAAAAGACAGATAGGGTACATGGATTGATGTCTCAAATCATTAATTCCTATTCCTATTATAAAAAGATTACTACAATTTGGTTCAATCGTGGGGACTAATGTTTTCTTTTCTGCCTAAACATCATTATATTTAATATCACAAACACATAACCAATTATATATAAAATAAAGGGCATGACTGAAGCAATCCTTAAAAAGACATGGGGGTGTGTGTGTGTGTGTGTGTGGCATTCACATCTTTTTTTGTTTAGACGGTGAAGCACAATCATCAAAGTGCACAACTTGTGTTGTGCATCATGTCCCCACACTCACAATAATATCTTGGAAAAACAGGGAAAAAATGTCATTTCTTCTTTTTTGTCATTTTTTGCTTCAAAAACATGATAATGAGAGGAACGCGGTAGAGTTGGATATGACAGGCCCATAATAACGATCTATGAATTGGGCCTCATGCCCTGATACTTTTTGTTTGGGCCAACATGAATCGATCCATCATGGTAAAAAACGGAAGATGCTTTCTACTTTTTTGGGCCTAACAAACTGCTCTATTCCAATGCTCCATCAAAATATCTGAATTATGTTTTGTTTTACAAGTCTTGTAAATATTTGTGAATTGAGCACAGCGCTGACGGAAGAAAAAGCAGATTAGAAAACAAACTTGCGTACGAAGACCAAAATGCTGCGAACAGTTTCCATGCGACTGCTTTTTTCTTTGGTTGTCGTTTTATGTCTTTTGATGTCGTTTCGGCGCTCTCATACAATGCAAATTCACACACGTCCATTGACACTTCTTTTTGTCACATTTAGTCTAAAGCATCGCAATTGATAGGCCTCTGAGTTTAAAGAGCTTTTCGTTTTGGTGATTGGAATTTGAACAAATAGCCAACCATGACTTTTATAACAATAGCCAACCATGACTTTTATAACAATAGCCTAGCCTCACACCACCTAAAGCTTCTTGTACCATTTCCTCTATTCTCAATGTAATTAACATTATTTACTTCTTGAATCTAATTTGATGCAATGCACAAACAATTTGCCGCTTAGTTTTGATGGGGAAAACAAAGATCAATCACAAGCTAAGGATTGCCTTGACTAAAAAGTTCATTCTCTAGGATTTTAATACTCAGTTCTAAGGCCAAGCATCTGAACGCAATAATGCAGTAAATTTAAAACTAGCGTACCAACTCCAAATATCACATAAAGGTTCTCGCCAACAATAATGCGGCCTCGCACCTTTCCCTGTCCTTTTGTTCCTTTTTTTCTTCAAAAGAAGCTGTTGTGTTTTGACTCGGACACACACACAAATGCCACTTATATAATTTTAATACACGTCTTCCTCCTTTCACTATACACTGTCCTTATAATTTTAACTGAGCAAATTTGTTTGCCCCCCTCCCCTTATCACCAATTTCAAACATAAGTACTTCTCCGGTCCTACATCTAAAACCTTTTTTCTAGTGTAATTTACACTACAAAAAGATTTATATTTAGGACCGATCTTTTTTATTTTCACTTTTTAGACGGTTTTCTCCGTGCCTTTTCATTTTCAGATAACTAACGTGTAACTCCAAGTGCCAAGTTATGATCCCCCAGATGGCTCCAGATCCAAAGTTGATAGCTTTATATATATATATATATATATATAAACTCATTGCTTGATTTTTATTTGGAGTTTTTACAAAGGCAAATTACCCATAATTCCATGGAAGAAAATTAAATACAAAGAAGTCCTTAAAAAAAACTCAAACTTAAATTAAATACAAAGAAGTCCTAAAAAAAACTCAAACTTACATATTTACAAGTCAGGTTACGTCATTTACAAATTAAATTTGCAAAAAATAATTTTTTTGAATTATATATGCATTTGAGTCTCTCATTCGAGACCTATAGATTTTTTTTTAGAAAAATATATTAATTAACCTGAAGACCCTCACCTATGGCCATGAAAGATTTAAAAAATTGTTCATGCAAATAATTCATTTTGGAAAAGCAGAAAACACCCTAAACGCCATAGTTTATTGAAATTTAATCCTGGCCACAATATAAATTATTACTTTAAAACTAGTTGAGGGTTAGGTCCGTTTTGATGTGAAACGAGGAAGAAGAAAAAAATAAGAGAAAGAAGACCTGGGAGTCAAACATGAATAAACATTTAACCAAAAGGAGCCTTTGTGGATTTAGAAGATCTCTGTCTGTTCTTTTCTTTCCAACTATGATGATGATATTCTTAACTTGGACCCCAAGGCTTACCCTAAAGCATTTGAGACGCAAATAGAGACTTGCTTTCTGGTTTATTAACTATTACTATATGAACACTTAACCAGTAAAGGACAGTGAAAGGTTTTTGTTATTGTTCTCTCTTCGGTCCATGTTAACCCATCGATCAATTGTGGATTGAATCTTCGGAGTAAAAAATGTTGGAATGCGTGACACCTGTTACAATACTTTGATTTTGATTTTGCCTTCTAATACACTCCAAATATTGTAGACCTGACAAGTACACTTGTCTGTATTCGTTTGGAATAGTCCCATTATATATAATGGATCCATCTATTCCACTATTAACTTGTACAGAACCCACCAAATAGCAGGTGACAATGCCTAACTAATTTGCTATAAACTAACACACACACACACACACCACACATATATGAAAAATTATAATTGAAAGTCGCATCTCAGATTAGATTCCGCAAATCACCAGAACCAATATCGTACGTATCAAATAAACCTTAAAATAAAAACTACTGCAAGATATTTCGTACATGAAAGTAAATAA